GCAGAATGGCCCCAAGATTCTCCTGTTCTCATTTGGGAATCAACCAGATTTCGGGTAGGGGTGAAAGCAAAGTTTAGGATAAAAATATGCAAGCTTAAAGCCATATAGAATAGCACAGCCAAAAACATTCATTAAAATTTCTTATGGACAGAAGAAAGTTACATTAATTAAAATGCCTGGTTACTGTAGACTGGGTTAAGAGGGAAAATTGACTTAGTACCAAATGGCTTCATTTTATGGTTTTACATAAGATTTTTGAAATATTTTCAGTTAAGGAAATGAAGGTAAGATCGAAAAAAAAATTCTCATAGGGTAACAGATAAAATACCATAGAGTTAAGGAGATCCATTATCATCATTATGACAGCATTTCCAATCACATTTATGAATTTGGGCAATTTTTATCACACTTGTTAAGGGACAATTGAGCAGGTGCCATTTTATGAGCTACTAATTCTTTAGTGATTCCCAAGTGGAGGATACACACACAGGGTTCAATTATTATGAGTCTAATAGAAATGCTGTGATTAGGAAAAATGCAAAGTAACATTAATCTCCCCACTGCTCTCTTGAGCAGAGTTCACCTGTCACTTTTAGTCCTGTGGAGCTTGGAGACCAACAACATGGCCAGAGGGTTTTGGATTTGTTACATCAAGGGCAGGGTGAGCTGAATATTTTTAATATAACTTTCTAAAACTAATTCATAATTTTAGCATTATAGGAATATTTAAGGGGAAAGAAGATTAAGTATGATTCCTATCATTGAAATATAGATTCTATATGTCAGTATATTAGCCTGAAATTTTAACCTTCTAATTCAAAATCAGGTTTAGTTTAGACTAAAAGTCCTGATTCTTCTCATGCTTCAGTTTCATTGTTTATGCGACTAAACATCAGGTGTTTTATTCAGGTGATATGGCATTTGTATTCTTCTCGTGAAAATCAGAACAGCCACAAATCATTCTAGAAATTGAAATAATGAATGTGAAATACTTAGTGCCATCATTACACATTTGGCATTTAATAAGGTTAGGTTCCTTCTAGCCTATGTTTGTATGATATTGACCATATAACCATCATTTGCTCCATGTGAGTGGGGCCCTGGAAATGGGAGGAAAAGGAAAGAAAGACGGAAGAGGACTAATACTTATTAATGGCTTGTTATGTGTCAGATAACAAGCTCAGTATTTGTGGTAGATGATTTAATCATTTCAATGATACCACAGGATATGATTTATTAAGCTCTCTATGGATTAGAAAGTTGAGATCCAGCAAGGTTAAATATCTTGACCATTTGTTACTTTTTAGTGAATGGTGGACTCAAGAATCAGAGCCATGCCTACTTTCCCCCAAAACTTTTCTACTTTGCTACTTGGCCTTCTCATTTTAAGGGCTGATTCTTCATAGTTAAGAACCTTAATGTTCTTTGGGAAAGCTTGAAAGAAAATTGCTCATAGCTAACCTGACAGTGCACCAAGCATTTCTCCACATTCAGGGTCATTATGTCTCAAATCAGTTTTGATACCGGCAATCTTTTTTGAGAAATCTCAAAAGATGCCTACCATCTTCCAGTAATGGGCCCCAGGACAAGGAAGCTTCAGCCAGAAGCCATAGGCCACAGGTGGGCCTAGGTCAAGCTGCTAAGAAGAGACATGACTGCTACAGTTTATCCTCTCCAGGCTGACAGTGCCTCTCACTTTAGAATAGTCTACACCCCCATTTCCTTATTCCTTGCTCCCACTTGGCTGTTTTTTCTGTATCCAGTCTCTTCCAACTCCAAATCATCCTCTAGGTTGCTGCCAGAGACCTTGAGGTTCACAAAATTCATATCTGACCATATCACTCTCCTTTGAAAAATGCTTGAATCCCCATAAAATAATGACAGCATTTCAACTTCTTAGATTAGCTCACAAGAATTGGGGCCTCTTCTTTCTTCCCTGGCCTTGCCTCTCCCATTCTCTCCCTGCACATTCACATCTTTCTCTCTGTCCATTGTGAAATAATATGACAAGCTGCTTCTTATCTGCAAGCCTTTGTTCATGCAGTTTTAAGTGCCTGGAATAGCCTTCCTTCTTTTTTCTTCTGAGTAAATCCAACCTTGTCTTTCATAGTTCAGCTCCAACCTTTAGACCTCAGTGTCTGATTTTTACGTACTACTATGTATTCTAATATAATAGAACGATGTTACCGAATTACAATAATTTGACTGTATTTTGCTTTACATGGTAAGCTTATCCAGGACAGTGACAACAGTTTCAGGTATTTTTTTTTTTCCTATACATAGCGTGAGAGCATGGGCTCTGTATCTTGCTTCTTGAATTCAAATCTATACCCTGTCACTTACTGACTGACTCACTTCTCCCTTCTGAGCCTCCCTGTTCTCATCTATGAAATGGAGAATCACCGCTTTGTGGGATTAGTGTTGGGATTAAGTGAGATTAGCCTGTGTTGATAAAGCACAGTGTCTGCCATATGTTCAGTACTCAATAAATGTTAGTTACAACTATGAGGAGGACAGTAACTGTTTAATGAATAATCATTCTCAAAGTGTAATAATAGGCATTAAATAACCATGTGATAGTGGGGTTTGTTTTTTTTTTTTGCAAAGGATGCTCTACCAGTTCTTTTTTGTTGTTATTGAAGTGTAGGTGACCTACAATGTTATATTAGTTTCAGGTGTACAACATAGTGATTTGACAGTTCTATACATTACTCAGTGTTCACCACAATAAATGTAGTCACCATCTGTCACCATCCAGTGTTATTACAAAATTAGTTTTAAATTTTAATTTAATTTAAATTCTGGTATAGTTAATATAGTGTTATATTAGTTTTAAGGGTACAGTATAGTTTTTCAACAATTCCATAAATCACTCTGTGCTCATCATGACAGATGCACTCCTTAGTTGCCGTTACAATATTATTGACTATATTCCTTATGCTGTATTTTTTTTATCTTTGTGACTTAGTTATTTTATAACTGGAAGATTGTACTTCTTTTTTTTTTTAATGTTTTTTTATTTATTTCTAGGAGAGAGAGACAGCGTGAGCAGGGGAGGGTCAGACAGAGAGGGAGTCACAGATTGAAACAGGCTCCAGGCTCTGAGCTGGCATTGAGCACAGAGCCCGACGCGGGGCTCGAACCCACGAACCGCGAGATCATGACCTAAGCGAAAGTCGGACGCTCAACCGACTAAGCCACCCAGGCGCCCCGGAAGATTGTACTTCTTAATCCCCTTCACCTATTTTGCCTATCCCCACCACCCACATCACCTCTGACTACTACCAGGTTTATTTTGTGTTTATCAGTCTGTTTCTGTTGGTTTGTTCATTTGCTTTGGTTTTCACATTCCACATATAAGTGAAATCAAGTGGTATTTGTCTTTCTTTGACTTATTTCACTTAATATAATACCCTCTGGGTCCATTCATATTGTTGCTAATGGCCAAATCTCATTCTTTGTTATGGCTAATGTCCATTATATATACAAACAATGAATATGTATCTTCTTTATCTTTTCATCTATCAACAGACACTTAGGTTGCTCCCATATCTTGGCTATTGTAAATAATGCTGCAGTATACACAAACGTTGATACATCTTTTCAAATTAGTGTTTTCATTTTTTTTGTAATAAATAGTAGTATAATTACTGGATCATATGGTATTTCTATTTTTAATTTTTTGAGGAACTGCCATTCTATTTTCCATCGTGGTTGCACCAATTTACATTCCCACCAACAGGGCGCAAGATTTCCTTTTTCTCCACATCCTTACCAGCACTTGTCTTTTTGAGAATAGTCATCCCTAACAGGTGTTAAGTGATGTCTCATTGTGGTTTTTATTTGCGTTTCCCTGATGATTAGTGATGTTGACCATCTTTGCATGTGTCTATTGGCTATTTGTATATCTTTGGAAAAAATGTCTATTATGGTCCTTTGCCCATTTTTAAATTGGATTATTTGGGGGTTTTTGGTGTTGAATTGTATAAGCTCTTTATGTGTTTTAGATATTAGCATCTTGTCAGATGTATCATTTGCAAGTATCTTCTCCGCTTCAGTAGGTTACTTTTTAATTTGTTGATGGTTTCCTTCATTGTACAAAAGCTTTTTATTTTGGTGTAGTCCCCATAGTTTATTTTGCTTTTGTTTCCCTTGCCTGAGGAAACATATTCAGAAAAATGTTGCTGAGTCCAATGTCCAAGAGATTATTTCCTGTATTTTCTTTTGGAATATTTATGGTTTCATGTCTCACATTTAGGTCTTTAATCCATTTTGAGTTTATGTTTATGTGTGGTGTAGGAAAGTGGTACAGGTTGGGTGTTTTGGTTTTGTGTGTTTTGTTTTTTTGTTTGTTTGTTTGTTTGTTTTTTGCACACATAGCTGACCAGTTTTCCCAACACCATTGATTGAGGAGATGATTTTTCCCCCATTGTTGCCTCTTTTGTTGTAGATTGATCATATAAGTGGGGGTTTATTTCTGAGCTCTAAAGTCTTTTCCATTAATTTGTCTGTTTTTGTGCTAATTCCACACTGGTTTGATTACTATAGCTTTGTAATATAGTTTGGAATATGGCTTTGGTTTTTTTTCTCAAAATTTCTTTGGCTATTGAGGGTCTTTTGGGGTTGTATACAAATTTTAGGATTATTTGTTCTAGCTCTGTGAAAAAATACTATAGGTATTTTGATAGAGATTGCATTGAATCTGTAGATTACTTTGGATAGTATGAATATTTTAACAATATTGTTCAATTCCATGAACATGATATATCTTTCCATTCATCTGTGCTATCTTCAGTTAATAAAGTTTTGAAAGACGTTCACCTTTGTCACACCTATTAGAGGAACTCTTAACAGGAGGTAAAATTTACGATATCTAATGGAGAAAGGAAACTAAGATGTCTTCTAGTATCCTTGCTCTCTTTGGCAAATGAAGTAATTGAGGTCCTGTAATATCACCTGTGTCACTTAGGGTTTGATAAGAGAGACAGAAGCCTTTTGAGTGACATGGAATGAGAGAGTTTATTATTGGGCAGAGCTGGTGGGGAAGTCAGTGTAAAGCCATTGCTGTTATGTCTGGGGGTGAGTCTGAAGTCACCACAGGCAAGCAGAACCAGCAGTCTGGAAGTAAAGCTGAACCTGAGGTAGAGGAGCATGTTGACAAACTGGAACCTTCATAAACAGCTGGAACCCTTCTGGACAGACTGGAACTCCTCTTTCTCTCCCACTGCCTCCAAGTTTGATGATACAGGTCACCTGTGATAGGAGACAGGAGGTAAATTTCTCTTGTGGCCAACCCTAATCTGGTGAAATGAGTTGTGGGAAGTGCTGTTCCAGGTCAGAGAAATTGGCACAGCATAAAGCTCCCACATCAAGTAACAACTCCACAAATACACAGTCATAGAGCTGGCCCCAGAACCCAGTGTTCTTTTCATTAGACTATTCTTCCATCTATAATAGTATCAATTGCAAGGTTAAGAACATATATTTTACTTTGGAAGGATTAAGTATTAAATTTTTGAAAATAGACATCAAGCCACTGAATTGCCATCAAAAGCAATCCCACACTTTCCAGTAATCCTCATAAAATTTTACTTTATAGTAGCAGATGGTTTGTGAAATCATTTAAGCCCACTTTTCTTATTCAGTATCACACACCCATATTAGAAAAATTTGGCTTAACTGATCTGTAGAATATTCCATTTCTTGGCAAAATGGAGAAGGTGGTTTACAAAGTTCTGAGGCTTGTGAGGGACTTCTGAATCATTCACTTTTGGTCAAAATCACATAAACCTAAAAGAACACAAACCTATATACCCACTAAGGCTTTTGGTTTCTCTGAGATGGCCTAATTTAAGACCACAGAACCACAGGTAGCCACATGCCATTGTTTGATTTTGTGAAAACTTTTCCAGCACTCTAAACTCCACACTTGGTAGTGAAGGAAATGTTACCTGTAGGAGAATCTAAATTTCTCTGAAAACGTTTGTTTAAGCAGCTTCATCCAACTAATTACCTGTTGCTCAAAAAAAACTGGGTGAAAAATAGATGGAACAGAACACTCAAACAAGAAGCATGACTTACGAAAAACCACCTCTAGGTGGCCTCAGAGCTCTGTTACTGCTCTGACATTTTTGGGTTCTTATTTAAAGTCTCCGCTCACAGAGAAACTCTAACACACTTTGTGATAATTATTAACTTTATGACTTTATGACAAGCTACATCTCCTTCCCCCTTTCAATTCCATTTTACATTCATCATAACTTTTTAAAGTGCTCTGTTTTGAAAGCATTTCTTCAGTTCTTACCATAGCTCTTGTTTTGCCTTTCTTGTCAATGTTTTAGCTCAGAAACGTGAATCAATCAACTCTTAGAATTCTCTAAGTGTATATACTGTGTAAGGAATCTTTAAGATACCCTGATGTTTTAGGTGTCATTTGCTTTGAGGAGGAGAGGAAAGTGTGCCTGGAGCCATTTTTTTTTCCCCTACGATAAAGGGCAGATTCCAGGAATCTGAGTCCTTCATCTCTGTGGCTGAACCTTCACTTATAAAGGGCTTGGATTCTGCACACCAGGCTCCCGGGAACAGGCAGGCTGGCTTAAAAGGTATGTTCACCTTGGTGACACAACCGGGTTTTCAGGGGCTTGACTGAGATACAGAAACTAAACTTTAAGGATGGAAGCTGTCTTTAGAGTCCAGTTTTGGGGCAGTGGCTTTTTTGAATTGGAGAACCAGAGTTCAAGAGTATCTTCAAAGTGAAGACTTTCTGTATGGAGGCCAGTGTCAGGAATGTTTATGCAATTCTCAGCTCACTTCCTCCCCTATATCTCCCCCCCCCCCATCAGTTCTGCTTGTTGTTCTTGCTAAAGAATAAAGTTGCTAATTCCCTCTATGCTATTAAGTGAAACAAGGATATTTACTGATAGTCTAACAGACCAAATTCCCCAAAGACATTTTCATCTAGTAAGATGTTCTTTCATGTTAGAGTAAAGCTGTGCTTGAGACCTTGAGGTTTAGAGTTAGGGAGATGTAGGCTGACTTTTAGCTATGCTACTTACTGGCTGTGCAGCCCAGGGAAAAAACACTTCATGTCTCTGAGCTCAGTTTCCTGAATGATACAATATAAACTATACCTCAGAGACTCACAACCAAGGATCAGTCAAAGATCGGTGAATACAGTGATTGGCACTAAGAGAGCATGCCGTAAGAGGTAGTAGCTCTTACTGTTTTTATTATCGTTTATAGAGAAGTAAAATTACAGTGGCACCTGATAAGAATGGGTTTAAAGCATGGAGTCTGGATGCATATCTCGTGTTTCTTTCTGGCATCGTTGTTTATGAAATGTGAGACCTTGACTAAGTTGTTTAACCCTTAATCCCCTATGCCTTTGTCTTCTACAGAATGGGGAGAACAGCTACTTTTTAGGGCTATAGTGAGGAATATATATCTATATCTATACAAAGATATAAAATTCACAGAGTGTCTAGTGCATAATAAATGCATAGTACATATTAGCTCCTGCCTAATCACCCTTCAGAATGAGCAGCTCACACAAATAGTTTTAATCCATGTATTTTTAATATTTGTTAGAAAAACTTATGGAAATAACCACTCTGATTTAGGTTGATAAGCTATGAAGAATTAGCTTCTAAGCAACAAACTGGACAAATTTGGGGAGCAGGACAGAAAGAGTGGCTACCATATCTTTCATACATATCTTTTCCACCTTGCTTTTCTTTTCATTCATACCAGAAGGTTATTATAGGGGATAAAATATTTAATGAGAGTGTATGGCATTTTAAATGTCAACAAATTTCAGGAAAAGGAAAAACTGGGAGTGGCATCAGAGATCACGGAGTGTGCATCACAAGTGTGAGAACTTGTTTACAAATGCAAAGAAGGGGCACCTTGGTGGCTTAGTTGGTTGAGCTTCCGACTTGAGCTCAGGTCATGATCTCATGGCTGATGAAGTTCCAGCCCCACATTGGGCTCGCTGCTGTCAGTGCTGAGCCTTCTTGGGGTCCTCTGTCCCCCGCTCTCTCTGCCCCTCCTCAACATTCATTCATTCATTCTCTCTCTCAAAAATAAACATTAAAATAATAAAAATGCAAAGCATACAACTTCCTCACAGATGCCTTAACTAAGTAAATCAAGGTCGTGTCCAGGAACTGTCATTTCACTAGTTTTCCAGGTGATTCTGATACCCCGCTTTGAAAATCATGAGAGTAAGAGCCCTAAAAGGGGTAAAATTCCATTTCTAGAAAATCTGACTCTAAAGTCCAAGATTTCAATCACTGAATTATTTTGGTCTTGAAGAGGGTGCTCAACTGTTGACGTACAGATGTATGTGCAAGAATGTTTGCTGTTAAGAGTGAAAGTTGAGCAGCAATGTAAATGTGCAAAAGGAAGGGATTCTTTAAATAAATCATGTCAGGGACACCTGGGTGGCTCAATTGATTTAGTGCCTGACTTTGGCTCAGGTTATGATCTTATGGTTCATGCGTTTGAGCCCTGCATCGGGTTCTGTGCTGTCAGTGCAGAACCCTCTTTGGATCTTCTGTCTCCCTCTGTCTCTGCCCCTTTGCTGCTCGCTCTCTCTATATAAAAATAAACATTTTAAAAAATCATGTCAGTTCTGTCTGTATGATAGTATGCAGTGTAGCCATTACAATTAAGACAGGTTTTTATAAGTTCATAGTTTAGTGGTGAGTGAAAAAGTAGTGAAGATATGTACACTGTGAATCCATTTTTATCCAAAATGTTATGTTCATAGAGGCTATTTGCTAAGATGCTACTGTTCTTTTTTTTAATTTTTTAATTTATTTTTAAGATTTATTTCTTCTTGAGAGAGAGAGAGAGTAAAAGTGTGAAGGCACCCCAGTAGGTTATAGATAATTTTACAATTTTGTTTGTGTTTTCCATGGTTAGGAACTTTTTAAATGTAACATTTTTAGAATTAAAAAAGTCAACATATGTGTACTGCAGTGCTTAAACATTTGCCAACAAAACTGTGTCAGGCAGAATAAGGGGTCCCCCAAAGGTACCCACACTGTCATTCCTGGAAATTGAATATGTTACCCTACATGACAAAAGGGACTCTGGATATGTGATAAAGATTTGTTTGAGGCTTGGTATGGAAAGATTATCCTCCAGTAGACCTAGTCTCATCAAATGAGTATGTAAAAGCAGAGAACCTTCATGGGCTGTGATGAGAGAGAGATGTGGCGACAGAGGGTCAAAAAGATGCCTTTGCTGACTCTGAAGGTGGAATAATGAGCCACAAGACATGGGGCACCTGGGTGGCTCATTTGGTTTAGCGTCCAACTTCGGCTCAGGTCATGATCTCACGGTCTGTGAGATCAAGCCCCACATCAGGCTCTGGGCTGATGGCTTGGATCCTGGAGCCTGCTTCAGATTCTGTGCCCAGCACTCTGCCCCTGCCCCACTTGCACACTTTCTATTTATCTCTTAAAAATAAATAAACATTAAAAAATTTTTTTAAGTGAACCACAAGACAAAGAATGCTCATGGTCCCTAAAGTTTGAAAAGACAAGGGAACAGATTTTCCCTTAGAGGTTCCAGAGAGGAGTTCACTTGTTGCCTACACCTCTGCCTTAGTCCAGTGAGGTCTATGTTGAACTTCTAAACTAAAGAGCTAAAAGGTCACAAAGTTGTGTGACTTTTTAAGCTGCAAAGTTTATAGTAGTTTGTCACAGTAGCAACAGAAAACTGACAAAAATAAAGCTAAATATTTGCCAGTATTTAAGCTTTTTGCTGGTATATAGACCCTCTGCCCTAATCAACAACCAAGTTGCTTTCCTTATCTATAGTGTCATTAAAATGGTAAATGTTGGGGCGCCTGGGTGGCTCAGTCGGTTAAGCGGTTAAGCATCTGACTTCAGCTTAGGTCATGATCTCACAGTTCTTGAGTTGAAGCCCCGCATCAGGCTCTGTGCTTACAGCTCAGAGCCTGGAGCCTGCTTCAGATTCTGTGTCTCCCTCTCTGTCTGTTCTCTGCTCACACTCTGTCTCTCAAAATAAAAAAATTTTAAATGATAAATGTTAATAGTGAAAACAACCTCAACAGTCATCTAATTCAAGACTTATATTTTATACATGAAGAAATCAGGGCCCACAGAGGTGTGTGACATAGCTGTTGAAAATTAAAATGCCTTAAGTTGCAAGTCTCAGGGAAGTTTGACTCACTCTGATTTATTCAATGAGAAGTTTTATTATCTCACATAACAAGAAACAGGGTGGTCTTCTCCACGGGTTATCAGAACTCTGGCTGTTGGCATTTCTCTTGGCTCTGGCTATTGGAAAGATGAATGCCCTAGCACCAGGCTGCACATCATATCTGAAGAATGGGAGCAGTGAGGAATAGTTTGTATTAGATGCTTTAGCTACGTATGTTGTAATTCTTAGCCAGAAATCTAGAACCAGATTGACTGGGTTCTAATAATAATGCTGCCACTTAGTAGCTGTAACCTTCCTTGTGTAACATGTGTAACCTCTTTGCGTCTCATTTTCCTCTACTGCAAAATGGAATGAGTACGTTTTTCCTGCTTCATTGAATTTATGGAGGATCAAATGAGTTACTGTAGAGAGGTTAGAACATTATGTGGCTTGGTGAATACAGTAGCTACCAATTTATTCAAGCCTCCTTATGTCCACATCCTTTTTTAAAAAAAAAAGTTTATTTATTTTGAGAGAGAGAGAGAAAATACATGAGTGGCAGAGGGGCGGAGAGAGAAAGAAGTGAGAGCCAGAATCCCAAGCTGGTTCTGCACTGCCAGAACAGAGCCCGTTGCAGGGCTCAAACTCACAAACTGTGAGATCGTGACCTGAGCGGGCGTCAGTCACCCAACCGACTGAGCCACCAGGCACCCCCTTATAACCTAACTTCATTAGGGTAGACCCCTTGTAGGCTGACTTTGGGCTCAGCCATGTAACTTACTTTGGTCATTGAAATGATACGGGCATCACCCAGGCAGAGATGTGAAATCCACTTGCATATTAGGGCTTGCATTTCCTTGTTGCTCTTGAACATTGCTGTCATTTGTAGCAGCCCAGAGTAGCCACCTGGAGAGGAGAAACAAACTGCTTCTGTTGCCCTGGCAACAGCTGGTCCTATGAATGAAACCATTCTACATCAGTTAGTTGCCATTCATTCCTCCAGCTGACTATGGACACCTTTGTAAGCCCAGCATGGATCAATGGTGTCAGCTCAGATCTGAAGAACCTGGCAACCAACCCGTAGAATCATGAGATAAATTGTAGGTTAAAGTTACTAAGTTCTAGAAGGGTTTGTTATGTAGCAAAGGCTAGCTGATACAGTAAGCACTCAGTAAGAATTAGCTATCCTTTGGGGCACCTGGGTGGCTTAGTCGGTTAAGCGTCAGACTTTCGCTTAGGTCATGATCTCGCGGTTTGTGGGTTCGAGCCCCGCGTCGGGCTCTGTGCTGACTGCCAGCTCAGAGCCTGGAGCCTGTTTCAGTCTGTCACTCCCTCTTTCTCTCTGACCCTCCCCTGCTCACGCTGTCTCTCTCTCTCCTAGAAATAAATAAAAAACATAAAAAAAAAAAAAGAATTAGCTATCCTTTGATGCTCATGAGTCACTCACCAACAATGATTCAGATGATCACAACAATGGTTACTGTAGACCAGAGACTCTCACCCTGGCTATGTCTCATTAAATGTATGTGAAGCATTAACAAGTGGCAAAGTGATTCTTGTATGTATCCAGGGTTGGGAGTAATCATTTGATTTGGAGTAATTATTGAGAAGGAATGGATGCTGGGGTCAGTCAGTCATCAGAATCATTACACGCAGGATCCTGTAGCTGGTAAGCAGCAGAGAGATGATATTGATTAGTTCTCCTGAGCCCCAGCTTTGGGTTTTTTTTTTTAATCACTGCATGCTGTGGGAGAGGATGATACCCTCAGGCACTCACAACAAGTTAATTATTGGGCATATTGTCCAACAGCAGAGGCAAACTTGTTCACACTGTTTTTCTTTGAGCTGCATATATTCTGAGGCAAAACAGAAAACTTCAGATACCATTGCTGAGACATTTTTTCTTTTTTCCTGCATGCCTAGCATTTGGTGAGTGTTCAGCATCAGATATGAGAAGTTAAGCTGAATAAACTGAAGGAAAACCTTCTAGAGAAAGCAAGCTCAGCTTAAAAAAAATGCTAAGTTTGCTGACTCAAGAGCCCAGGACAGCTTAATAAAATTGAACAGAGGAAAACCAATTAAACACTTTAAACTGCTATTCTGGGGCTCACCAAAACAACACAAATCAAAAGAGGAAATATTCAATTATTAGTAGCAGCTGGATTTTTGTGGAAGTTTTTTTTAGTTAAGCCAAGTCTCCCCTTTTACTACCGCTTCCCAGAGGGCCGACCGATTTTTCATTCTCCAGAAAGTACTTCATTGTGAATTTGCCCACAGGGATATTCAAAGAAATCCTAATGGCCTAATGCAGACCTCTGAGCTCCTCACTTCTCTTTTCAGAAACATTCAGGGTTCCCCAGGGCTTGTCAATAGCCTTGATTTGGTGGACAAAACCTTTTGTGATATGTCCCCCACCCCCCACCACACCATCCTGTCTAGCTTTCCCTACGATTTCTTTATAAAAAAACAGGTGGATTGGATTTAGTCCAGAGGGCTGGTGGTAAGTTTGAGGCCCATTCTTGCCATTTGATCACAAGCCAATGACCATCTCTGGGTTTTGCAATTCTCATCTGTAAATTGGTGATAATATTTCTTGGTTTATATGTGAGGATTAAAATGGGATATAGTTATGTGAAGAACCTTTAAAAATATGAAGTACTCTATACTTAGAATATATTATTAGCTTATTATATATTTAGAGAACAGAGTCGTTCATCTTTCTGCAGCAAGACTGTGGTGGATGTGAGAATGTGCCATACAGATCTACCTTCAAGGGAAGTCATGCTGCTTAGCTGTGGGGTGTGTGCTCAGCAGGCAGCCTCCAGCTGTCAGCCCTTCATGGTCAGCCTCTGCTGCTGAGCTCTGCCTCCTACATGACAGACATCATGGTGACTGAGCACAACAGAGGTACACAAGTTCAAGCATTTCAGCTTCAGCTCTGATAAACAATACCCAAGGACCAGTGAGGGACCTGCGTGTCAGTTCACTTTCTCTGTCTTCTCAGTCATGATTCCTCCCCTTTCCCTTCATGAGTTGGTCCTTAGTAAATAGCTTGTACTCTTTTAAGTCCATCTCAGAGTGTGCTTCCGGAGAGTTACTAGTTACACTGGAGAGTGTGCTTTACTGAGTTACTAGTATATGTGGTGATTTTTTTTGTGAGTGGATCTCCTTTATCCATGTCAGGAACATAGCCAGGCTTTGTCTTGAGGCTGTTTGTGTTCTCTGAGGACAGTCCCCCTTTCTGGCCAGAATCTGTGATGGAAATATGCTTGGGCTTTAAGGGTGTAGATGAAAAGATGGGTTGAGAGATAAGTGGCCAACACTGAGGGAATGGGATTAGTCTGGACTAGGAAGTAATGAGTGATTTGGGGTCTGTGTCTATAAGCATCAAGATCTGCCCACCATGTGTTTACACCACCTCAAGAAAACCTAAAAGGGAACAGGCAGAATTATAACTCAGAGTCTAGAACTAAGAGATTGGGGGACTGATGCCACCAAAATTGCTGGGCACCTGGGTCTTCTTCAAGAGAACATTTAGGCTTAGACCGTGAACAGGTCATCAACAGGATGGGAGTTGAGAATCACATTGAATTTATGCCTCAAAAAGTAAGGTAATATGATATATCTTGCATAGCCTAGTTTTTGAGGAAAATCCAATCTACTGCCTTTATATCCCCTTAAAAATATTTTCAGACAAGTGAATTCAGTGAGGTTTTGAGAAAATGAGCAATGAAGGTCTAATGACACATTCATTTCACAAATGTATATTAAGCACCTAGTATATCCCTGGCATTCTGCTGGCCACATCGTGATGAACAAGATACATATGGTCAGCAGAAAGTGTACAGCCACTTTTTCTTCTGTCACCACCAACAATGTCTTGGGGCCAGGCAGCTAGAATAACAGGAAACTGACAGGACTGAAGGGATCAGTGCAGCCTCCTGCCACTTCCTACAACACTCTAGTTCACTTTACTACAAATAGAGCACCTCAGAGGCTGCTCTTGCATCCAGCACCTGTGACTCTCTACTTAGGGGCTTTCTCTGGCTGCATAAACATGGTACGTTCATGTGCAAGGCAGGCCTGAAGGGTGTGTGTGTGTGGTGGGTTGTGGGTATAGTGTGGAATTGATGTATTTGGAAACAGCCTTCCACCACTGGAGATGGGAATTGGTAAACACCTCTGCTTGCTTTCTCCTTGAGTGGGAAAATTCCTTTGAGATATACTCTATGCCATCTCCCATAGATCCTCAGTAGGATTCAGACACAGACATCCCCCACCAATAACACGCTCATTACTACAATCTGTTTTGGCTTCCTTCCTTTCTCTGTGTCATTGTCCCCCCTCCTGTTCCATTGATTCCCAGAATTAGCTTGCAGATAAACTACTGAAATCCCCATCCTGGCATTTATTTCCTGGGAAACCTAAACTGAGATTCCCACCACGTTTAGGCTTGCTTCAGCCTAGGAGGCGGGCACCATGGCCATTACCACGGGCACCCCAGCACTATGTATGCAGGAAAGCCCCATCTCTGGGTCCTTTTTGATGAATGTGTGTACTTTAGAATAGCGGATCTCTAAGCACTATAATTGACACATGGCTGAAAATAGCAAGCAACTAATTTGCTTTTGTTCCTAATGAACAGTAAGCCCATTGAGGGCAAGTTTGTGTTATTTCTTCTTCCATCATCACAAAGCATAATGTTAGGCACCAAGCAACTGCTTAGTGATGGAACTGAATTTTTTCCCCAGGGATTTAGTCCCTACTTGTAACTAAGCAGCCAAATAGGCCTCTTAATTTATGTTTCTCGATCTTATTTAGAGCCTGCAAAAATGGTGTGGGTAATCTCCTGAGGGAAAGAATTGAAGGATTCCAGTATTTTTATGAAGTCGTTGGGCATTTTTATGCAAAATCTCTGATCTAGTATGATGAAGAGTAGTCTAAGGCATAGATCAGCCTATGTTTTCTGAAGGGGGCCAGATAATAAACATTTCAGGCTTTGTTGCAAGAAGTCTCCATTGCCACTACCCAACTCTGCCTTTGTAGTGCAGAAACAGCCAGACACAATCCATGAATGTTCCAATAAATATTACTTATGAAAACTACCTGACTGGATTTAGCCCATGGGACATAGTTTCCTGACCTCTAGTCTAAGGCAGTGTTGTCTAGTAGAACTTTCTGCAAGATAAAAATATTCTGTAATCAAAGATACCCGGTTTGGTAACCAATATGTGGCTAGCGCTACTGAGAATATGAATTTATTTACATTTAAATAGACACATGTGACTGGTGACTAACATACTGGGCACTGCATGGTATTGTTTTGCCAATCCTGACAAAGCCCGAGCCACTTAATCATATTTCCATCAACCTTTTCTGCCCCAACTGCTTCTTCATTTGGAAACACACTGGTCGAAACAATGAAAGTGAAAACAACATATGCTCTCTCTTCCCAGTGAAACTGCCAGCCTCCGTCTTGCTTTTAGTGTGGTTGGCTGAACATGATACACGTGGAGGAGACAAGCCTTTATTTCTTCCTGGGCATACTAAAGCATGAGTCTAGCTTTTAGACATGTATTTCATGAGCTGTGGGGTCTCTGCCAATAATTCAGACATCTTCAGGTGGTCTTGGATAGTCATACAGGTCTTGTCAAGATTGGGGCTTCAGTTTTTTATTCTCAATCAGCTCCTCCACTTTTCTAGCACTGTCAGCTCCAAAGTTCTGACCTTTTAGCAGCTGATATCTCAATTTTGGCAAGCTGAGTTTCCACCCCCCTTCTCCTTTTTAAAGTTTGCTTTTCAAAACCAGACTAACAGGGATCATTTCAGTGTGTGATGAAGTAGGCACTTACTGAGCAATAAACCTGTGGATTTATGCTTA